ACCTACAAAGATAATCTCTAAGCAATCTCTTCATCCACCACATAGTCCAGCATGGTGAGGAGACTCCTACAATCTCTTACAACCTAGGCAGCCCCCGTTCCCACCCACCCACCCCCCCCACACTTCATATTACTTTTCTTCTGAGTATTGTAAGCAAGTTTTTATCTTTCCCTCTTAGCGGGGGGGGGGGGGGACAGAAAAGCAGCAGATGGGGCTAACTTGGGGGCTTGGTGGGCAGGGAGGAGACCAAAGGTAGCCGGGCAGCCGGTGGCAAATGTTGCCATGCTGCCATGTCTTGTCTGGAGCCTGCTGCTTCGAGGGACCAGTGCAAAAAGGCTACTCTCTGGGGGAGGAGAAGCTGAGAGTCCCTGGGCCTCATCCTCTCCACGGGGCCCCGGCCCTCAACCCCCCAAGGTCGCCCCCCATCCTCCCAAGCTCTGAGCTCTGAGAAGATGGGGCCTGGCGCTGCTCCTCTGAGAAGCAGCAGCTGGAGACAGCCGTGGAAAGCTGCAGTCTTCAGGCACAAAGACAAATGGCCTGGAAAAAGAAGGGGTCAGCACCGTAGCAGGGTGTCCTGTGCCTTCCAACGGAGCCCAGGCTGACAATGCAGGCGTGAGCAGTGTGTGAGAGCATTTGCCTGAGTCCATTTGCAGACCATTTCTTGATGAATTTGGGGGGATGTCACAGTCGAGCCACAGCCTACTTACAGAGCTCACGAGTTTTAATGTCCTCAAGTCCCTTCCATCTATAAGCTCTTCAAGGATTAAAGTGCTTTTCGTGTCTTCTACCTGGAAACACTAACAAGTCTTGGGGTGCAGTGAATGACTCGATGAGAGAAAATAGACTACCTCTACCGAATGAACTCAAGGTGCCTGTGCCCTGGGGGTGGCCCCATACACAGGTGTCCTCCTGCAGCACGAAGTCCCGATGGGTGTGCAAGGGCCTTTCAGCAGCTCACATCTGCTCCACACACACGCACTCCTGTGCACACTCATGGCACCCTGTCATCAGCCCAGGGCTCAGGCTGCATCATCAATGACAGAATGGAGGGGAGCAGGACGCTCAGCCCTCCCGAGACAACCCTGTCACATGGCACTGTGGGTAGCCTTGCATTCAGAGTCTGTCCCCTGCTTCTCATCCTCAGGGTGGGGCTCTGCAGGGGGACTTTTGAGGGCCAAGGAGGCTGGCTCTTTTTCATTGTCGCTGTCCTCCGAAGTCTTCTTTCCATGGCGAGTTTTCTGCAATTTTCCCTTCAAGGCCTTGTCACATTTGCCACACTCGCCACATGTGCAAGGCTTCTCCTCGCTCTTGCCGCAGGCCCTTCCGGCATTCGTGCGCCTGCCGGTGCTCCAGGAGGTCTAAGCTGCTCCGGAACACCTTCTTGCAGTCTTGACACTTGTGGGGCCTCTCCTCCCTGTGAACCGCCTGGTGCTTGAAGAGGTTGGATCGTCTGCCGAAGGTCTTCCCACAGTCGCTGCATTCGTAGGGCTTCTCACCACTGTGCACCCGACGATGCTGACTGAGGCCCGAGCGCCCCCGGAAGGCCTTTCCACACTCCTTGCACTGGAATGACTTCTCCCTGCTGTGGATGCGCTGGTGATGAATGAGCTGGGAGATGCCCTTGAAAGCTTTTGGACACTTGCTGCACTTGTAGGGCTTCTCGCCACTGTGGGTCCGCTGGTGCTCGATGAGGTTAGAGCTCCTGCTGAAGGACTTCCCGCACTCATTGCACTCGTAGGGCCGCTCCCCGCTGTGTATGCGCTCGTGCTCCAGGAGGGCGAAGCTGCGCCGAAAGAGTTTCCCACACTCTGAGCACTTGAAGGGCTTCTCGCCGCTGTGGATAATTTGGTGCTTGATGAGGTTGGAGCTGCGCGTAAAGGTCTTCCCGCACTCATTGCACTCGAAGGGCTTCTCGCCGCTGTGGATGCGCTGGTGCTCCAGGAGGGCGAAGCTGCGCCGAAAGAGTTTCCCACACTCTGAGCACTCGTAGGGCTTCTCGCCGCTGTGGATGATGCGGTGTTTGATGAGGTTGGAGCTCCGGCTGAAGGATTTCCCACACTGCTGACAGAGGTACCGCTTCTCTGCGCCTTTGGAACTCTGTGGCCTTGACACTGAAACCTGCCTGACGCTGGGGTTGCTTCTCTGCACTGGCTCTCTTCCCGCCCCCGAGGAACTGCCTTGGCCTTTCTCCCTGTGATGGTCACCCCTGCTGGAACCTGCCTCTGGAGAACGAACATGTTTCTGTGTCTGCTCAGGTGTCTCCTCCAGCAGCCTGGCTCCCTGGCCCTTGCTGCCACCTGCGCATTCTTTTGGACAATGTTTCTTCTTGGAACTCAATGTCTTGCTCTTGATCCTTTCATCTGTAAAGACAGAGGGCACCAACCGGTGTTGCTCCCTCCCTGGATCTCTATTGAGGGTTTTTTCTTCACCCTCACCCTCATGCCAAGGCTGAGAAGAGATGAACCAAGAGATGGACATGGGCAGACAGACAGGAAAGCGAGAAGGGAGGAAGTGGGGTGAGACAGCAGGAGGTGCTCCCTTCATCTTGTGCCTCCATAGGGGGGGACTCCTTGGGGCATTTAAATCTGCCACAAAAGAGAGTTCCCCACCCAAAGTGACTGTGCCACCCTCCACTGGCCGCTGCTCTATGCGAATGGCTCAGGCAAGCTGGCCGACCACCTTTTACTCACCTGCCTGTGTTCCTACAGCAGCCCTTGTCCGGCTGTCTGTTACCCAGGGCCACTCCCCTCGCTCCAGCAGGGAGACCAGGTGAGGCTTGGAGGATGAAAATCCTGTGCACGGAAATGAAGTGAATCAGTGTCTTCAGGAATAGAGAACAAAGAACTCTCCAGAAAGTGCCACTGGAAGGGTCCAGAGAAAGGGCAGAGTCCCACTCACGAAGCAAGGGGCTCTAAGCCTACAGGGGCCAGGAAGGCACAGGGGATCTATAGTAGATGGCGATTTGGGCCACGAGGATAAAGATTTCATTATTTGGCCTCGTGGAGAGCAGCAGGCTTGTGGGGGCCTCTCTGTGTGTGGATACCCCGAGGCATAGCCAAAGGGCTAGAGCAGGGATCCACCGGGGTCAAGGCCTGAGGAAGTATCAGGAAGTGAACAGAGCCGAGGGGCTACCTGCACCCCTTTTGCCTTTTGAATCACCATCAGACAGAGCAGATGTCTCAGTTCCTTATGCCAAACTCAGCTGAGGATTCCTGAACTCCCCTGGGAAGCCCAGATCTTCCTGGGAAGGGTCAGAAAGAACCCAGGGGAAGAAGCTAGTCTCCTTTGGTGTGGGCAAATCACAGAGGTGAAATCTGTTGACTCTAAAAGAAAAAATGGAGCAAGAGGGTCCACTGCAGCCCCAAAGGCAGCGGGATGCAGTAGGGGAGTATGCCCCAGCTCCCACCCCGGCGTCTACATGCCTTGGCCTGGGCCTCCATGTCCTGGGCCCTCTGTGGCTTGATGCTGCTAAATTCTAACAAGAAACAAGTGTGAAATGTAACCTTGGTAAAAGTGAATTAAGTCTCCAGTAGGGCATAGGGTAATTTGCACCATCTTTTGGGTAGAAGAAGTTTCGTTAACCTGAGTTTATATGCAAAATAAGTTTGACGAGGGAGGGCACACATTCACCCAAAACATTTACAGGTCCAAACCATTGAGCTAAAAACTGCCCTGTTGAGACAAAAGCTGGGCTGCAATGGTTTATGGATCTGATGGGGAAATGCACTTATTTTTGGCCTCACAGTAACCAACCAGCAAAGAAACTCAAAAATAAACTGAGTTCAGCCCGGCTGGCATGGCTTAGTGTTTGAGCATCGACCCATGAACCAGGAGGTCACGGTTTGATTCTCTATCACGGCACATGCCCGGGTTGCAGGCTCAATCCCCAGTGTGGGGCATGCAGGAGGCAGCCGATCAATGATTCTCTCTCACCATTGATGTTTCTATCTCCTTCTTCCTCTCCCTTCCTTTCTGAAATCAATAAAAATATGTTTAAAAAAGAAAGAAAGAGAGTTTAGAGACAAAGTAGGAGGCACTGGGTGTGTGGGGTCCTTACCCAGTGACACTAAATGGCGGTAGTTCTCCAGCATCACTTGCTTGTAGAGGATCCTTTGTTTGAGATCCAGAAGCTTCCATTCTGTCTTGCTGAAGTGCACGGACACGTCCTCAAAAGATACTGGCACCTAAAACAAGCCATTCCTGTGACTGCAGGGAAATTCACCCTCTTGGGGCCCAGGATGAGGTGGGAGCAACTAAAGATGGGGTAAGGGCGGTACTGGGGAGAGCAGCAGCCAGGGGAGGCTCGGAGTTGCAACAGTTGTGAGGCTGGGACACGAGGAGGTGGCAAGTGGAGACCATGAAGGGGAGATACTGAGGTGAGGGGCAGCCCGAAGCTGGGAGACCCACTCACCTTGGCTCTGGTCGTTAGGAGAATGGCTGCCATGGCAGAGGCAGGGAGAAGCTAAGGGAAGTAGAAAGAGGAAGGTGTGAGAGGAGGCCCACCCTACTCCAGTACAGCCCATCCATTCCCAGCCCCTGGGGACAAGATTTCAACATATCTTTTCAGGGGACACGATTCAACTCATAACACTTAACCAAACTGAGCTTCTGTCCCCTCTCCTCACCTGCACAGTGGGCCACAGACACGGATTTACTCCCTCCTCTGGCCAGCAGCCCAAACTAGGCTTTCAAGGGAGTGTGTTTCTTAAAAAAAAATAATTTTAGTGATTTCAGAGAGGAGGGAGAGATAGAAACATCAATGATGAGAAAGATTCACTGATGGGCTGCCTCCTGTATGCCCCCCACTGGGGATCAAGCCCCCAACCCGGGCATGTGGCCTAACCGGGAATCGAACCCAGATCTCCTGGTTCATAGGTTGATGCTCAACCACTGAGCCATGCCGGCCAGGCTCTTCTTTCCTTTCTTTTTCTCATTTCCTTCTTCTCTTGGCCCTTTTCTCATGTGGGCAGTACCCCTGACCCCAACTTTCCAGCCATCCCTAGAAGCTCTGCCGCCAACCCCCTTTCCCCTCAGGTCAGGGTTCTTACAAAAAATCTCTAAACATACCGCCTCCACCTGCAAACAAACTTTCTCTCAAGGGGAAGAGAAAGACCAGGCTGGTGAGCTGCACAATGAAGGGACCCACGATAGCGGGGGTGGGAGGGGGGGTGCTTTCTGAAGAAGTAACTTTTAGGCCAAAAGATGAAGGTTGGGGTAAGGAGAACAGCAGATCAAGGGCATGGCCCATGTCCAGCCTTCAGATAGGCCTGAGTGCAGCGTTCATGGTGCTGAAAACTGGCTGGTGGTGGGGGTGGGAGGTGGCGGGGGGGGGGAGTTTGCAGAACGTGAGGCCATGCTGGGGTCTCCCCCATCCTCCCCCTTCTCCTTCCCCCCTCACCCCCGGGGGACAGGAAGGAGCCTGGGCTCACATTAAGGGCAGGAAGAGCGTGTCACTGACAAACTGGACGGAACCAGATTTCTTTCTCCACATCAGTTCTCAAAGCCAGAAGAAGAAAGTTTGCTCTAAGGATGTTGTTTCCACCCAACTGGAGACTGAAAGGTGGAAGTCCTGGGCGGAGCAGCGGAGGAACAAGGCTGTGGATGGTGGGCGGGTGGGCCTGAGCCTGGAGTGTTTCTTATGCTGCTGTGGGCGAGCACAGCGTGTTTGTGCAACAAGAGAGAGGGCAAAGGGACAGGGTCCCCAGAGCATTGAAATTGGCCCAAAGTCCCTTATCACCTGTGATATATTGTCAATCAACACTGGCCCGGAATAAATAAACTCATATGTCTTATGAAGAAGTTTCTATAAATCAGAGAGACAGAATCCCTTAAGGTTGAGTGGATGCTAAAAACCATTAGATGGCCCTAGCTGGTTTGGCTCAGTGGATAGAGCATTGCCCTGCAGACTGAAGGGTCCCGGGTTCGATTCTGATCAAGGGCAAGTACCTCGGTTACAGGCTCCTCCCCGGCCCCCCGGGCAGGAGGCAACCAATCAATGAGTCTCTCTCACATCGATGTTTCTCTCTGTCTCTCCCCCTCCCACTCTCTCTAAAAATCAATGAGAAAATATCCTCGGGTGAGGATTAAACTACCTAAATAAATAAATATCATTAGATCAGTGGTTCTCAACCTTCTGGCCCTTTAAATACAGTTCCTCATGTTGTGACCCCAACCATAAAATTATTTTCGTTGCTACTTCATAACTGGAATTTTGCTACTGTTATGAATTGTAATGTAAATATCTGATATGCAGGATGGTCTTAGCCGACCCCTGTGAAAGGGTCGTTTGACCGCCAAAGGGGTCGCGACCCAACAGGTTGAGAACCGCTGCATTAGATGAAAGGCAAAGAACAGACATCCACGTGATGTCAAATGTCTGCTGGTCACGAGAGAGAAAGCTAATCTAACAATGGTGGGACAGAGGTGGGACGTCCCTTCAGGGATGCCTTGGGGACTGCTCAGGTGGCCCAGGAGGACTCTTGCCAAGTCTTGACCTGATTCTGATGCAGCCTTGGGACCCAACTTGCAGTTCACAGAGCGTCTCAGGGACGGAGGGGGCCAGTTCAAGACACCACAAGAAAGCAAGCAGCCTGACCCAGAAGTGGGCTGTTCCCTGTTCTCTGCAAATGAGCGTCCTGGGGAAGAGAGGAGGCTTAGAGAGGATGACTGTTCCAGATGAAAAGAGATTTAAGGGGCCAACATCCAAGTGCAATGGAGTTCTTTTTAAAAATATATCTTTATTGATTTTAGAGAGGAAGGGAGAGGGAGAGAGAGATAGAAACATCAATGATGAGAGAGAATCACTGATGAGCTGCCTCCTGCATGCTCCACACTGGGGATGGAGCCTGCAACCAGATATGTGCTCTGACCGGGAACTGAACCATGACCTCCTAGTTCAGTGGTCGGCAAACTGCGGCTTGCGAGCCACATGCGGCTCTTTGGCCCCTAGAGTGTGGCTCTTCCACAAAATACCACGTGCGGGCGCACATGTACAGTGCGATTGAAACTTCGTGGCCCATGCGCAGAAGTTGGTATTTTGTGGAAGAGCCACACTCAAGGGGCCAAAGAGCCGCAGTTTGCCAACCACTGTCCTAGTTCATAGGTCGACGCTCAACCACTGAGCCATGGGCAGAGTCTTTTATCAGGCATGAACAAAAGAGGAGTCAAAGGCACTGGGGGGCATGGAGGGCCTACTGTGGAGTGACTCTCAGAGGACAATGGGACCACTGCTGCCCGTGCATTGGATGGAAAATGGCACTGAGCCATTTAACAAAATGTGCTGGTCAAGAGATGCACATTGAGCCCTAGCCGGTTTGGCTTAGTGGACAGAGCGTCAGCCTGCAGACTAAAGGGTCCTGGGTTCGATTCCTTTCAAGGGCACGTACCTCGGTTGCAGGCATCTCCCTGGCCCAGGCCCGGGTCGGGACTTGTGCAGGAGGCAACCAATCGATGTGTTTCTCTCACTTGGATGTTTCTCTCTGCCTTTCCCTCTCTCTTCCACTCTCCCTAAAAAATCAATGGAAAAATATCTTCAGGTGAGGCTTAACAAAAAAAGAGATGCACATTGAAGCATTTTGGGAGAAAATGGCCTGTAAACTTACTTTAAAATGCTGGGAAGGGAATAGAATGGAAGGAAAGGGAAGAGCAAACTAGCAAATAAGAGGAGCTGGAGGGCACTGCCTGGGAGGCTGGTACCTGGGCTTCATTACACTAGTCTCTCTACTTGTCGGTTTGCTTGATGGTGTTCAAAATTAAAAGGGAAAATAGTTTGATGGTTCCTCAATAAATAAACATAGTTATCGCATGACCCAGCAATTCCACTCCTGGACATATACTCAAAAGAACTGCAAACAGGTGTGCAAATAAAAGCCTGTACATGAATGTTTCCAGCAGCGTGATTCACCAGAGTGGCAACAGGTGGAAACAACCCAATGTCCACCGTCTGACGAATGTAATGAATGAACCAAGTGTGGTCGTACACACAATGGAATATTACTTGGCCATAAAGAGGAATGAGATGCCGATACATGCTACAATGCGGGCGAACCTTGGAGACATTATGCTCAGTGACAAAAGCCAGACACACAATAGGCCACAGATGGTATGATTCCATTTATATGATGTAATATAAAATTTCACAAGAGCTGTCTTGACCTAATTTGGAACTTATGACTGAAAACCCCCTTTTCTCTGCTCTTCATGGGCAGTTTGTTGAGCTCCCATCCCAGCTACTTCCCTCATCATGGGGCCCTCTCTCTGGGGCCACTAAACATATCCTCACCCCTTTATTGGGCTCCCACACTCAGGGGTCAGTACGAGAAAACTAGGGACAGCCCCTATGCCCAGAGGGACCCCGCGGAAACTAGCACGCTACCCCGATGCACCCCTATGTGGCAGCCTCCTTTCCTTTGAGTTGTAAGAAAGAGTTCTGCCTTTCATCTCTCTAAGTGTCACTGTCTTGTGACCTGCCATCAAAAAATAATCTTATCTTTAAAAATATGACATGGCCTTGGCAGGTGTGGCTCAATTGGGTGAGCAGCATCCCGTGCTCGGAAGGGTTGCCGGTTCGATTCCAGGTCAGGGCACATGCCCAGGTTCCAGGATCAATTCCCAGTCTGGGTGCATAGTGGAGGCAGCTGATTGATGTTTCTCTCTCACACTGATGTTTCTCTCTCTCTCTCTCTCTAAAAAAAAATCAATAAAAAGATATTTTTAAAAACTAACATATGACATGTGCAGAATAGGAAAATCCAGAGAGTCAGAGAGCAGATCGGTGGGCATGAGGTGTGAGGGTGTGTGTGGGGGGGGAGGAGCAGTGTGTGTGTGTGTGTGTGTGTGTGTGTGTGTGTGTGTGTGACTGCTTTGTGGGTATAGGGTTTTCTCCATGAGTGATGAAAATGTTCTGGAACAAGACAGCGGTGATGGTTGCACAACATTGTTAATGTACTTAATGCCGCTGAATTATTCGCTTTAGAATGGTCAATTTTATTTTATGCGAATCTCATCTCAATAAAAAAGGGGGGTCAAGAGGTGTGGCTGTCGAGTAATCATGCTGATGTCCACACGTCACATTCATTCTGACACCCCATCAGTCACTGGGGGGACATAACGGGCTATAACGGTGTAGGGTGGAGACTAGTGGGAACATCCGGGCTTTTCAGACCAGCAGCACATTATTTTGAAGAACAGCACGTGCTTCTTTTCTCTCTCCCACAGCTGTAACGCCAGGTCATGGTCCATCTTGGAAAACAGAAAAGTCTAAAGGAAGAGTGTTATCTACGGTCCCCCGCTCCAAGACATACTGGGGTCCAAGCCCCCAGTGGAGAAACAGCCATTGAGCTGTGACCGCCTGAGAGAAACAGCATGACAGGCTCACCTGTAGATGGAGACCAACATTCAAGTTCAACACCACAAGGCGCACTGGGAGGTGCCAGCCACGATGAGTGGTCGCACGCAAC